TTTTATATCCTGTCTGAGATGTACTTAATTGCACGCACCTGTCACACCCCATGATAATGTGAATGTCTACCGACGACGCGATTATTTTACAAAAAGGACAGAATGATCAACGCTATCTCGTTGGTTTATTTCCCACGCGATGTTTAGAGCCACTCTAAACGATCTAAAAAATTACAAGTTTTTAATGACACATAAACTTTCGCAGCCCAGGAGATATTTTAGATAGTAAGGTAGCTATTGTGCGTGCGTGATTCTTTCAGTTGCGATGACAGACAGCGATAGATCGAGGCAATTAACGCGCAAAATTTACATAATAAGATATGTAAATTTTGCGCGTTAATTTCCTCGACGGGAAGTGCAGGTGTTGCAAGTTTCGCGTCCTCGAGTGGTTTAGCGGTCAAACACAAATTTTAATATAAAGTTAATATACAATTTAGTGTATACTTTTTCTCTGATTGCGTTATTTAATTCTTAAAATATTCATAATAATTTCCAAGACAACAGCTTACTTAAATTTATATTTATCTTTAAATATATTCTCTTTATCTTATAAGCATATGACAGGCTGAGTAAAAATGACCTGTCTGCAAGGTCCGAGCAAAAGTGAGTTAGAAATGTTTCCGCGCAAAAACGAATTGCTTGAGGTTCCGGGCAAAAACGAATCATAGAATAGCTCCGAGCAAAAACGACTCAAATACATAAGTCATTTCTGCTCGCACAGAAAAACCGACTCGTTTTTGCCCGCTAAGAAAACTTGAGTTGTTTCTGCCCGCGAAGAAAATTAGAGTCATTTTTGCCAGCATCGAAAACTCGACTCGTTTTTGCCCGCGCTGTAAATGACTTACTTTTGCTCGCTCTGATAAACGTTTCTTTATTAACGCTCCTTTATCTTTATCATCGTTTAGGCTACTTTTGATGTTAATTGTCATTTTGAACGCGTTTGAACTCTGCGTGAATTTTTTTCCTCAAGTCGTCGTGTTCTTCTTGCATATTTCCAAATTTTACTCTTTCTTCGTTCGGCAGATCTTTGTTGTTTAAATTCACTTTTATCGTATTGCAGGTTTTACATGTGTCCGTGTGTCGTTTTTTAAAACTCAAATTAAATTCATAGTTGAAGATGTCTCGGAACATATATTATATAGTTTATTCATAAATATTCGTGTATTTCTCGAAAATGTAAAGACTATATTGCGTGTGTTCGGAAGGAGAATCTATTGAGACTTGATCTATAATTATGAAAGTTTTTTTTACATGCCTTATTAACATATAATTGTTGATTACGTATAAATATTTTCTATACGCTGATATTAGCGGGAATCATCTCTCTACAATCTTGATTATTATCTTGCAATATCTTCTGATTCTTGATTTCTATCATTTCCTACATCTATCGTTTATAAGATTCTCTGGTTGTTGTAACTTACACATTTGTGTTGCGCAAGTACTTAATATCCTTTGATGATCGTCCTAATCTCCGACTATATCTACACGGGAAAAAAAATGATGTTGTATCAACATCATTATTTTTTGTATCAACAGCATCAGCGTTATTATTGAGATAAAATTTATTGATGCAACATCAATATTAATGAACAAAAAACATCAGATAATTGTTTTAATAATTTAAATATTTGATACAATAATATCCAATTGAATTAACTATATACATATGCTCGTGGCAGCCCGTGACGTCGATGTTTAATTGAAGCAACTTCATTTTTTTTTCCGTGTATTACAACCCACTTTTGCAAATATCTTACGTTCTGGTTAAAATATTGAGACGTATTTATTTTTTATCAGAAACTAAAATCAAGACGTCAGCGTTTATTCTGGAGTTATTGCTTTTTTTCGACAATTTTTTCTTGATATATGCATCATACAAATTATACGTCATAACAATTTTTTGTTTATCTATATATTGCTATAATCAAAAAAAGCACGAGGACTGAATAATGCGTTTGAAAGAGTAACCATACAAGAGTACAATACAAATGTATACATACATACATATTATACATCGAAAATATCATAATATATCAAAAATATCTGTTAATGCACGTTAACACGTGGACAGCAGCTATGAATATTTATTTTACACAATAAAAGAATTATTAGAGATTTTTTTTAGAAAATCAATAATTAATTTTATTATCTTATTTCTTAATATCCGCACCATATGCAAAATCTTACCAAATTATTTCAACACTTAAATAAATTGATTAATTAATTTAAAAAGCGATAATTAAAATATTATTAATTTACTTAACCGGTCAGAAATCTTATCAAGTATAAAACTATTGAAAGTAGAAAACTATTTAAAAAAAGTTTTACTAAAATGAAGAATAAATAAAATGTAAATTTTGGTAGTAATAAAGCGCAAATTATATCTGTAGATGTGTCCGTTATAAATTTTTTCGCAAAAAAAAAAAGTAATCTTGAATAACACGCATAATCATTTATGATGTGTGCCGCCTATGATTTACGTTTCCTCTTCTAGTTTCTGAATAAATAATTTGATTTACACACCTGTTATAACATTGTGTGACAAAACAAATTAAAGCAGTCATTTTATAAATCTAATATCACATTTCATATCCTATCAGTACGTTGTAAGTACTGATAATACCGACATTATCACACTCACCAAATATTATTTTGTAAAATTGTAACGTGTAAAATTTTAATCTTAAGCTGCGTAATCTGTAACGAAAAATTGTATCGATAATATACCGGAACGTTGTTTTGATGTAAAATACGGTTCTAGGGAACAAATTTTATTGTTGTAAAATTTATATTGTTATATTATCAATATATCTTCGCGGTGCGTTAATACAATGGATGTCAAAGGTTCGTAATGAATTTGACAGTAAATTGCGCTTTGCAATAATTTTGTTTTATTTATAAACAACGACGGGCAAATCGATCGAAAGTAATACTGATTATGCTAATTTTCATTTCACAACATTGTGATGGCACACTGGTTAACGCAATTGGATTGACTTCGTATAACGACTGTAAATGCGTCAATGGGATTTTTTAACGGAAACTTTTCTAAACTGATTTTTATAGGTAATTTCCTTGTATTACGTGATAAATACAAGTTGCTGGGACACACCTCCTGCTGTTTTACACTCAGTTAAATCAATTAGCATGAGTCATTGCTTTGCGTCAGGTTCTCTAGAGTCTTTTTCTTTGCGTTTTTAAATCAGTGTCGGCAATTAATTTAGATATCTTTCGTGCTAGAGTTTCGTTTGACGCTGCGATAGTATTCGGCTTCATAATATCGTAAACACCACCTGTAAAGATGGTCATAATTAATCTTTCAATAACTGCACAGCATCGATTCTTGCGTTTATTTTCCTTTTGTTTAAAATCATATATTATTCTGCAAGAAATCGCTGTTTCGATTCTGACTTTTATTCTGCTTCTGATTCTGATAATTCAATCTGAAATTTCTGATTGTATACAGTGATTATTTGAAGTGTAATTGTCCTCTTGTTCATCATAATGAAAGTATTTTAATACATATGGATATATTTATTTATAATTATTTTATAGTTTGAGCCAATTTTGTTAATATTAATTAGTTGTAATCTTTGTAGTAAATTGAGTATGAGTATTTCAGAGATAAATTTTTCAGAAAATTTTTATATGTTTGTGATCGGTGGAAGGAAATTCGTAAAATTTATAGCTATATAGTGATATTTGGTTATTAATCTGTCGTTCGTGTTACCGTACCCTTCGAATCTATAACAGTTCCACCCGCTTCGCGTAAAATCAGCGTTCCTGCCGCCACATCCCAGGCTTTAAGATGAGTATCTAAATAGAAGCAATCCGCTACACCATGCGCTATGTACGCCAGAGTAAGTGCGGCTGATCCGATACATCTGGTTCTGAATCAACAGGAAACGCATAAAAAGGATCTTTCCAAAATAATAGGTTAACAGATAACAGATACGATAACAGATAAACAGATTTGATACTTAATTATAATGCACGATTAGCTAGATCTAGAATAACGTTTCACTTACATCTGCGTCGCTTCAACCAAGGCGTCCATTTTGTGTCCCTGATAATTGTTGTCTTTTACTTTTTCTACTTTCCAAACCAACGGCTCAAGCATGATCAATGCATCTTTCAGTTCTGCAAAAAAATTGAAGCAATGAGAACAACACTTCTTACAAGCGCATTCAGATACAGTTCTTTTTTCCCATTTGTCACGGAGATTTTACGGTTCTTCCCCCCGAATGAATCAACTGTGTGATTAATATGTAGGTAATCCAGATCGATAATCTTGCTGTTAAAAATAAATTGTTATTGACTGGAATATGCATTTGGCACTAATTTTGCAAAGCGGGAAGATACAAGACGGAAATCAATTAT